CAGATCTGTGAAGAATTTTGATGGTATTTTGATGGGGATTGCATTGAATCTATAGATTGCTTTTGGTAGAATTGCCATTTTTACTATGTTGATCCTCCCAATCCAAGAGCAAGGGAGATCCTTCCATTTTCTGGTGTCCTCTTCAATTTCTTTCTTGGTATGAGATTTCTTAATAGACAGTAAAGGCATGTTCCAGGCCGATTGCATGGGCTGTAGGACTCCCAAGTCCGGCAGCTGTCTGACATGTGGGGGTGATGTCTTTCTTGGCCTCTAAGGGCACAGGGTACTGGGGGACTTTGACCAGATCTACCCCCAGCTTAATTTTTACATAAGCAAGGAACAATGCACTGCCAGTTTCATCCCTCCTGTTTGGCCCAGGCTGACGGAAACTCCTGAAGTCATCTCCCCAACTGTAGATCAGGTTCAGGGCCATTCGTGCAGCCTATACTCTTCAGTCAAGCTGCTAGTTACCAGTACATGAATAGGTTTCCTATCTTTACTGAGCAGTTTGTCTCCCTCATCAGAAAAGTGTGTCTGGGCCTTCATTTTAGCCAATAGATCATGGCCCAACAAGGGATAAGGACATTCTTGTATTACCAGAAATGAGTGGGTTACCCGGCCCATTCCTAAGTCCACCATTGTTTGGGTGGTCCATGTATAAGACTTTGCCCCTTTGGCCCCTTGAACCCAGATCTTTTTATTTGTCATGGGCCCACTGGCCTTTAATAATACTGAATTCTCAGCTACTGTATCCACCATGAAGTCAGTCTTTTCCCCTCCACTCTCAGGGTTACCCTGGGTTCAAAGAGGGGAACCAAACCTTGTCTCCCCTCATCGCTGTCCATCTCTAAACTAAAGACATTGCTGCTGCCTTAGCTTTCCTCCAGGGGCATCATCTCGCCCAGTGCCCTTCCTCCTTTCAGAACGCACAGATTCTTTCCCAGCCAGGGCCTTCGCGTTTACTACCTTGTGGTTTCTTTTCCTTTCTTTTCTTTTTTTTTCTTTTTTGAGTGAAAGCTCATGATCTTATTGTCTTCATAACAAGATCAGCTTAGAACTGGATCACTTGGCCCTTTCTCTTCTTATCACTTCCCAGTTCAAAATGCTTGCATCTCTTAATAGCCAGCTTCCTCTTAGATCTGCAGTTGGGCTCCACACTTTCCAGTTTCAGCACAATCTTCTTTGTAGTTTTCTCCTTTTTGCGGAAAACAGGCTTAGTCTGCTCACCATAGCCACTCTGTTTCCTGTCATTACGCCGCTTTCCCTGGGCATACAGAGAATCTTTGCCCTTCGTGTACTGTGCCACTTTGTGGGGTTGGTGCTTGCCACATTTCTTGCAGAATGTCTGGCAGGTCTTAGAAACATTCACCATGTTGGTGGGTGCACTATCCACCCACCAACAGAAAGAAAGAGGGGGAAGGCCAGCAATGGAAGTTTATAGGCAGTCCTGCCTTTTGGTTTCTTGTCCTCTTCTCAGCATCCAGGCACCGTAGCTGCCCTCTGTCTCCTCCGCTCCTGCTGTAGCAGCCACAGCACACTAGCAAGGTGATGGTTCTCCTGCCGCTCTTTTCTCCTCTGCTCTTCCCTCTGCACTCTCTCTGCCATTGCACACTTTCTCAGCCTCTGCAACGACCTCTCCAATGCCTTTCCCTCCTAAGTGCTCTAGTTTTTGCAGTTTCCTTCTAAGACCTGGGGCTCCCTGGTCACTAAAGGCTCAATCCAAGGCCACCACACTTTCCTGTGACTCTGGATTGTGTGGTGTCTATCTCTTGAAAGCCTCCTGTAGTCATTTCCAAAAACACAGCTGGGCTTTCATCTGGTCCCTACCACCATAGCCCACCAATAGAGAGCCTGGTGACAGACAAGGAGACTCCTCTTACCTCCAGTGTTGCAGTACTATTCGGGGTGAGCTAGAGGGAGTGTGGCATCGCTGAGAGTCTGGTTGGCTGTAGGCTCCCTCTGGGGCCCAGAACCAATTTTCGGGCTCCCACCTAGACCCAGTCCCTCTCCTCCATAGAGAACACAATCATCTCAAGTGGGACAGTGGGTGAAAGGATCAGCTTTGAGGAGAGTAATCAAGCCTCGGGGGTTCTCAGAGAAAAGAGCATTCTGAGACTCCCAATGTAGAGATCACTGGTGGCAAAAGGCCAGTAATGAAAGGGTTGATTCCCATCTTGACTGAGAGCCCAGTGGCCCTCAAATCTAGTTCAGGGGTCCTTCCTCTCCATATTCTGGTGCCCCTGGCTGAGCCTTTCCCCTGGACAGGGTCTATCTGGGGTCTCCTTGGGCCACTGCTGGCACAGGCCTGGGAACTGGGATATGGGTATAAGGAGGGGGAGGAAAAATATCTTCTTTAGTATTCCCACCCTGAAAAACTGGAGCTGGATGGGCTGAAGGGCCCCCAGTCAGTGGGAGTTTCTTCTCTGCCACCAGTACTTTAACCTGTTGGGGAAGAAAAGTGTTAACCCAAGAGGGAGGCTCTTCTACCAGACTTCTCCATGTTATGATGTAGGGTATCTGGTCAGGATGTCCAGTTCTGGGTTGAAACACAATTTCCTCCACAGCCCAATGGGTCTGGCATCAAAACTCCCCTCCAGGGACCAGTTGAAACACAAAGTGAGCCATTCTGAGGTGCAAAACGTAACAACTTTCCCTTGTGAATTTCAACCCCTTGATTATGAGCTGTGGTTTGCACATCCTTCCAATGGGCTAGGCAGAGATCTAGGGGAGAAGAGGGGCCCTGTCCCATTATTTCCATCTCAGTCAGATACACAAAAACACCAAACAGAGGACAACACACAAGACCAAGAGCACAAAAAAGATTTTGCCCCAATAAGACAAACAACAAAACTTCAAAAACAGTAATGGCTTGGTGCCCTCAGCAGGGAGCAACCCTCCAGGTTCAGTCACACCAAAGACCATCCAAACATGAGACTCTTTCCTCAATCAAACGTGCCTCCTGGGTTTCCACATACCCGTCTCCAGGGTGTGAAAATGTCTCCTGGAGCCCTGTGATCCTGGTCCTCCAACGCCTCTCCTGGCTGTCCCAGACACTGACTGTTACTAGACTATGTTATGGATCTGACACACTTCAGAAAGTGAAAGTACAAAACGACATAGAGACAAAGACAGAAACAGAAACAAAGAAACTTATTGGCTGGTCATGAACTCCTCAGGCCAGAGTCTGGGGGTTGTGGGGATCCCGAATGTGCCCCCAAATGTTGTACCTGCATTGAGAGACTCCCAAACAAGACCACCACAGAGCTGGTATCCAAGGACACAAGAGGGGTTTACTGAATATGAACTCATGTGTGGACCATCATACAGCACTCTGATGCAGCAGATGGAGGAGAATGACCCTGAACCTCTAAAGCAGGAAAAAGTCTTAAGCAGGGTGGTACAGCCTTGGTGATACATGATTGGATACAAATTTGGTAAGCGTAGGCAACCTTCAAGTTAATTGGCTGGGTCTAGGGGAATTTCCAAACAGCAATTATCAGATGCCCACAAGAACATCTTAAGCAAGCATTATTGCTAGTCATTGGCTGGCCACCAGGTGGGGTAACTTTAACCATGGCAGGCATTAGCTTGTTTTTCTTAGAAATGTTATTTTGAGCTTTTTGGATCCCATTGCCTATGGTGGGATGCTGTGCTCAGCCTTGATGCAGGTGGGAGGCTTGGTCCTGCCTCAACTTAATGTGCCAGCCTTTGTCAACTCTCCATGGGAGGCTTTACCCTTTGGGAGGAGTGGATGGGGAGTGGGCTGGGAGAAGAGAAGGGAGGGGTGGGAGGAGGGGTGGAAGAGAGAACAGTGGGGGCTGGAGAGATGGCTGAGAGGTTAAGAGCATTGCCTGCTCTTCCAAAGGTCCTGAGTTCAGTTCCCAGCAACCACATGGTGGCTTTCACAGCCATCTATAATGAGGTCTGGTGCCCTCTTCTGGCCTGCAGACATACAGACAGAATATTGTATACATAATAAATAAATAAATAAACAAACAAACAAACAATGGTTGGAATGTAAAATGAACAATAATAATAAAAAGAATTGCACCACCAAAAAAAAGAAAGAAAAAAAGAAAGAAAGAAATGTTATTTTGATTTTCACTGAAGCTGGGTCGGCCCTAGGTCAAGTGCAGATAAAATGGAGTTCTTTCTCATAATGGAGTTTGTCCTGCTCCTTCATTTTTAAGGTCAAACAAAGATATATTTTAGATGCACAGGTTATCTTCAAACTCTTCAGAGATCTACAGAATATGGCATTCAAGATGTTTTAATAAAACATGCTCTTTTATGACAATGAGAAATGTCTGCTCCTGGCAGCACCAATCTACTTCAGAGAAGATAATGGGCACTGAAGAAACGCCACATGGAGTTTACTTTCTTATGGAGTTTACTTTCTTTGTAGTAAAAGTAAGCAACTGGGTAAGAAAAGTACTCTTGCCTTGACTACTGACAGTATGCTGTCCAAACTGGATTAGCAGGACACAAGAGAAAGTGACGGTCAAACATTGTCAAGACAAGGAGAGACAGCCATTCAGAACATCCTGCTTCACAGAAAAGTATGTCAGATATGCTAGGCCTGTAGGCTGAAGATAGATGCCCCAATATTGTAGAGGAACTTTGGGTGACTGTCCAGGCAGCCAGCTGTTTCTGTCATTTCTCACATTTTTTGAAAGTCACTGGCTTACACTTCCTTCCCGCTTACTAAGTTAACATTATTTCCTTCTATGGTCTCTGAGGGAGTTGAAGACTGGATAGTTATAGTCTCCTTGTTTACCTGATGCAGAAAGCAAGTTCCGACAGAAAGTAAATTAGGTACAAGACTTTGAACTCACCAAGATAGGATAAATATGGAGTATTTTCTGTGAATTTGTCAAATGTTGTTGATGTATTTATTTACATTGTTGATGTATTTATTGCCTGTATATATTATATATAGTCATTGTATTTATTGTACATAGATTTTCTTATGTTAGTTATAACCTTTTCCATTTTAGACAAAAAGGGGAAATGTAGTAATATTTCATTTGTATTTTAATAAATAAAACTTGCCTGAAGATCAGAGAGTTAAATAGTGACCCTGGTCAGCCTTACAGACCAGGCAGTGGTGACACACACACACTTTTAATCCCAGTAGTCACACTAGTTTGCCATAGAAACCAGATGGTAGTGGTCTATGCCTTTAATTCCAGCACTAGAGAGCAATATAAGACAGGAGGAGACAGCTCTCAGGCTCAGTCTTATTATAAGGCTTCCTGGAAGCAGGATTGCCATTTTGGATTGAGGTAGAGGTAAGAGCTTGCTGTTTTGCTTTTCTGACCTTCAGGTTAAAACCAATATCTGTCTCTGGGTTTTTATTAATCGTGCTACACACGATCTTCTCTGTAGTCATCCCTACAGCTTAGTCAGATTGTCACCTGCTCCTACTAATCTTCCTGTCATCCTCTAAGGTCCAGCTGTCCGCCCCTCAGGCCATCACCCTAGACAGAAAATGCCTAATCTAATCACTCACAGTCCCTACCACCAAGGACAAAATTCTATCCTTCCTAGGGGTGACTGACTCTTAGATTCTTGAATCTCCTTTTTCTCCTTTCTTGCTCGCTCTTGGCCCCTCACCCAAGTTCCCCTGTACATATTGCCAAACCTTTGTGTAAACTTCACTGGGCCCTCCCAGCCCAAACCACTGATCAACAGTTTGATCTAACAGTTCTTGCTGGCCTTTCAATAGCAAAGGAACTGCTGTGAACCGTGCTCTGATCTGACCCAAGCTGCTGTATGGAGTGTGTATGGATCATTTGTTTCTGTTGCCTTTGGTCACCCACCATGTTTGATTCCACATGCCAGAGTCTTCCTCTTCATCCATTTCTTCCCTCCTCCTGCTCTGACCATCTGTCTCTTCTTGTCTACTTGGTAAGTGTGTTGTTTTCTGGCTTCTGGAGCCTGCTATGCCCTCCAGAGCACTGAACACACGGGCATCTCCCTGCTGTGCCTTCCTAGGCCCTACCACATGGGATACTCTATATATACTATGACACCTGCTCATCTCCCTCTAGTGGAACCCTCCCTGCTTCCTTGCCTGCTCCCTCTAAGAGCTGCCTGCTATGTTCTGCAGCTTCCTTAAGTCCTTCTAGGCCTCTGTGACCTTGTACCTCCCGTCTCCCTCCTGGAAGTCTCACAGCTTCCCTCTGCCTTCCTGGGCTTTTCTCTTGCCTCTCAGCTCCCATTTGGAGCTTATAAAAACTCCCTTGTGTGGGGTTTGTCTGCAACCCTTTCTCTTTTCCTCTCTAGATTCAGATTTCATTAAAGCCGTGCTCTGGTACTACAAACAGGTTGGCCTCAGTACAGCCCAATGACAAAATTTGCATGTTCAATATTCAAATTCTCTCATATGGTAATGCCTTCTGCCACTGCACAAACGAATGATTTGAAAGTCTCCTTTATCTACACTTGCCCTCTCCTCCTCTATTTCTTATTTACACCTGTCTGGAGTAGCTCTTACATATGAGTGAAAAATAGAAGGCGTGATCTCATTCATCAAAGGTTCTTGCCTACCTAATGTCTCCCGTCTTGGGTGACACTGATCCCACCTCTCGGTCCTCATGGTCACTCCATTTCTTGTTTCTGCATATCAGCTACTGAATAACACTCTGCCCAGCTGCCTTGGAGATTGCTGGTTGTGCGTTGCTCCAGGGTCAAACTCACAATTGGCATTTGTGGCTTTCCCCATCAGTCTATTAGACTATCTTACCTTGCTGCTCATTAACTGCTCTGAACCAATTATCCTGCGTCCCTTCATCTTTCCCACATGTCTCTTCGGTATTGCAGACTGCTTTAACTCCCCAGCATGCAGTGGGATAATGCTCTTGTACTCTGTAAAGATGTGTCACTCATACTAGTTTAATAAAATGCTGATTGGCCAGCAGCTAAACAGGAAGTATAGGTGGGTCAACCAGACTAGGAGAATTCTGGGAAGAGGAAAGACAGAGACACAGTCACCAGCCAGATGCAGAGGAAGCAAGATGAGAAAGCCTTACTGAGTACCAAGCCGCATGGCTAAACATAGATAAGTATTATGTGTTAATTTAACTTGTAAGAACTAGTAGTAATAATTCTGAGCAATAGACCAAACAGTGTATTATTATTATAAGCTTCTGTGTGTTTATTTGGGACTGAAGGGCTGCAGGACTGGGCAGGACAGAAACTTCTGTTGACACCCCAGGTACTCATTTTATGGGCGCACTGGGTTCTTCAGACTAATAATACCCTAATCCTCAGCACCACCATTCAGCCCATATCCCCAAATGATCACAACACCTCTGTCATTTATGGCACTAAAATTTGCTACTGTATACCTGCAGGTGGTCTGGGACTTGAACCCTGTTGTTCTCTTTCCTAAATTAGGGGTGATACCTAATTGGTACCTTTACTGGGTCACATCTTCATTCAGGACCTCCAACCCATAGCTCAGACCATCCTCACCCTCCAGGACCAAATAAGCTCACTGGCCACCATAGTACTATAAAATCAGCAAGGACTAGATCTTCTAGGGTGGCCTTTGCTTCTTCCTCAGGGAGGAATGTTGCTTCTAAGTCAACCAATAGGGCGTAGTAAATAAAAGACAAGACCCAACACTCCAGACTAATCCCCAAAGTCATACGGAACACCTCCATGCTTCTGGCTGGTGGGACACGATGCTCCAATATGGAGCTTTCTTAACTCCCCTTCTCTTCCTTTTACTAATCCTACTAATTGTTCCCTGTCTTATAAACTTCTTATCTAGACTTCTTCAGCAACAGATTTAAAAAATCTTCTAACCAACCCTTTAAGCAGTTGTTATTAGAGGATGATCAACCCCGCCCTACAGAATCAGAGTCCTATACCCCCGATTACACACTGACAGTGAAGATCAAGCTTGCCTCGAGGACTTCGATGCTGCCATTGCCACACAACAGGAAGTAGTCTAATGATAACTTTGCCCTCTTTCCTGACCCCTGATTAGTTATCAATAATAAACACAAAGTGTGGAATGTAGGGTAACAGACCAGTGAAAAATCACCCTGCTCCCTGCCTGTCCCCAGACCCGAGACTTGGAAATCCCCACACCCATCAATCAGGATCTAAGGCCGAGCAATACTTTAGCCACGCTGTGCTTTTCCACCAGTTCACTGCACATGCTCCATGGACCCCACAAAAGTCCTTCTCCCAGCCTCTCGGGGCGGCCACCATTCTGTGTTTCTTCCCAACAAATCTCTTGTGTGAGGTTTGTTGTATGGTGTGATTTTGTGGTTTTCCTTAGCTCCCAATTGCCATGGTATTCTTGCACTGGAAAACCGTTTCATTGGTGGATCCTAGGTTCCAGGGATAGAGCATAAGTTCTCAACCATGGAGTGGATGAAGAACAAGGGTCAATACCTGCTCCCTTTTAAACATTTTTTAAATTTTTTAAAAATTTGTTTTATGTGTATGGATGTTTGCCTGCATGCATGTCTGTGTACTGTGTGTGTTCTCAGTGCCCTCAGAGGCCAGAAAGGATGTTGGATCTCCTGAGACAGTTGCGGGCAGTCATATGGATGCTGAAGATTGAACCTGGGTCTTTGGAAGAGCAGCCAGTGTTCTTGACTCCATGCTCCCTGAAGACTTTATTTTTAACCATGTGCATGGGAACACCAACAGAAGCCAGCAGAACTGGACCACTCTTGGGCTGGAGTAACACAAGGGTTTGGGTCTCACTCTATAGTGCGGGCTGGCCACCAGCTTCCTATATAGCCCAGGCTGGCCTTGTAAGTACTTGTGATCCTTATGCCTCATTTTCTCAAGTGCTGAAACTACAGGCATGTGCTACTAGGCTTGGCCTTTTATCTATTTTTTTTTTAAACACAGGGTCTAGTAGCAGGCTGGCCTCAAACTCTTATTCCCCCAATTTCCCTCCTGAATTCTGGGATTAAAGGTGTAGGCCACCACACTAAATATTCCCGAACTTTTAGGAGGTAGATATCTCTTGGGAGAAGTAGGTTTCTACAAAAATAAAAGTCAGAGCAGATTGTAAAAATATTGAGATGAACTACAACAATGAAGGGCATTTCCATGTATAGCAGCCTTGCAGTGAGAGTCCACTTTATCGTGACAGTTTAGATCTGTTAATTTAAGCCCCCCGTCCGTTTTCTGATGGGTAAAATCTGTTCCATTTACCTGTAGAGTTCGCTTTAAGACACTAGGTAGACCTGGCTGTTCTGGAACTTGCTATGTAGGCTAGCCGGGCTTGAAGTTGTGTTGATCCTCCTGTCTCAGCCCACTGAGTGCCGGGGTTATAGGAGCGCACCACCATACCCTATTAGCGTTCTAATTACAAGCCTGTCTTGAGGAGTTCTAATAAAGTAATACTGTTCATAGCATACAGGTATATAGCCAATGGTTAATAAAAATGGCCATAATTTCTTAATCCCTAAAAGAGCAAGGTGGATCTGGTACCATTTCATCCCCCTGCTCCAGGGTCTTCACTATGTAGCCCTGGCTTACCTGGAAATCAGAACAACTTGCCTGTCTCTGGAACACTAGAATCAAAGGCATAAGCCACCATGCCTGGCTACGGTTTATTTATTTACAATTAAGTAAATTCAATCTCTGTGAGACTATTCTGGTTATCGAGCTATAAATAAAGACGCCAGGCCTGACTTTGCTCTGCAGATCTTTCCCCAAAACTCCTTCGTCAAAACTTTTAAAAAAGCAGGGCACGGTAGGTAGAGGTTGCGAATGTCTGACTTCCAGGCCAGTCAAAACTATGCAGAGACCATGTCTCAAAGCATCAACCTTGTCTCCTGCTAGAATGCATTAGAAGGGTGAAGATACGGGGCGGAAAGTGAGGAGAGTTTGAGACAGCACCAGGGACACAATGTCCCTCCAGGGAAGGAGGCGGGCGGGGTACGGCCAGACCGACAGCTCTCAGATCGCCAGACTCCCAGGCAGCGCGACCGGAACCCCACTCTAGAATCCCACTCTAGAACGTGCCACGCCGGCCACACCTGGTCCTCGGGGGCGGGGACCATTAGCTTCGATAGCCTATCACCGCTGCGGAAGCCAAGCCAGACTCCGCCTCTTCACTGGTGGGCGGCAACGTGACGTCACCTTCGGGCGGCAGAGGGCGCCATGATTGGTTGGCGCTGGGAGGTTAGCGCTTAGTGTCTATGCCGAAGTTTTCCCGTCCAGGTTTCCGGGCGCTCGGAGTCGCTCCCGAGGGCTTGGGGAGCGCTCTGCAGAAACCTGGGCTTTCTTCTGAGGACCGAGCACGGGAGAACCGGTGACCGGAAGTGATCTGCTGACCGGAAACGAGGCCTGAGGGGAAAGTGCGGCCCCCCCGGAGGGAGGCACTCTCCGCGGCAGGGGGCAGAGGGGACGCCAGGGCGACTGGCGTGCTGCGCGCCTCGGCTTAGAGGCTGTGTGGAGGCCGCCGAGCGGCCCGGAGGACTCAGCCGCACTCGGGCAAGTCCGACGTGGTTGAGACCCCGGCGCCTCGCGCTCCCGACAGCCGAACGAGAGGGATCCTGGCCATCGGGGCACCCGGGGAGTAACCGGGGTGCAGCCTCAGGGTCAGGCTCGGGGTTCTGGTGTGCTGCGCGAGGGAGCTTGTTTGTAGGTTCCCTGCGGGTAGAGTTACGCTCCGTGCCTTTGTACAGGGCGAGGAAGGAGCCGGCATGGCCTGGGCTCTGAAGCTGCCGCTGGCGGACGAGGTGATTGAGTCGGGGCTGGTGCAGGACTTTGATGCCAGCCTGTCCGGCATTGGCCAGGAGCTGGGCGCTGGTGCGTACAGCATGAGGTGAGCGATAGCTTCCTCGCACCTTACCTTCTCAATAACAGGCAGGATCGTGAACGTGGGGAAGGCGGGCGTAGAGTTTAAAAAACTGCTTGTAGCGGAGTGGGAGACCTTTTCCCCTTGTTGACTAGAGTGGTGAGGGAGAACTAGAGAAAGACTGTGCGAAGTGTCAGCTCTGCAGGGCCTTGGGGTGGGAAGAGTCAGCTCTGCAGGGTCTTGGGGTGGGAAGAGTCAGCTCTGCAGGGCCTTGTTTGTGTATGTGGTATGGTATGCCTGATTCATGTGAGGAAAGGGTTACACTGAACACGTGAGGGGTGTCCAGGCAGTTGGAGAGTTGGAAACTGGGGTTAAGTTAACTCGGGTAAGACGTCGACACATAGCCGTCTTTTATGACAAACTTGTTTTAAGACTTCTCTTCCAGGATTTCTGTCTTTGGAAACGTGAGCTGAGAAGTTTTTAAACAGTGACAAAGTCATTAGAACTACATGAATTATCAGGGGGTAGAGGCAGGGGAATCAGGAGTTCAGGGCTATCCTTGGCTACATAGCAAAGTTGTCATGGGCAACATGAGATCCTGTCTCAAAAAAAAATGTAGCAAAGATAACTTCTAGATATTGCTAGACACCTATGTATTGAGCTAATTGTCAGGGAAGATGTGGTGGGGACAGTGCCCCACACTGCTGAAGCAGCTGGAGTTTTCTCCCCCTTAGGAATTGTTGCCACAGAAAGAGAATTTCAGGATAAGCTACTATGAAGCAGATTTGGAGTTTATTAAAATGTTTTTAAACATTCATTTAACCATGGGGACGAAAGGAAAGAAAGGTGCTTAAGGAAGACACACCTGAGATTGGGGTTCAGAGCTGTCTTTACTGTGACTATATGTAGTGGTTTTGGTGGTGCCTGAGTTATACTTAACAGGATCGCTAACCTAACAGATCATGCATGGGATTACTCTAGGTCTCAAAGGTTGCAAGAGAAGTTAAGATGTTTTTCTGTGAACAAAAATTTAGTCTTGTATTGGGGATTCCTAGAAAACATCTGGGAAAGAAGAAAGACTGTATTTGAAGGTAATGTAGGCATAGGTCTTAAACATGGTTCACTATTTTAACATTTTTTTCTATGTAAAAGGAATGTTATTTCTATGTTGATAACATTCTTTTTATATAAAATAAGTATTATTTCTATGTTGATAGTCTTCACACCAAATATAGTTACTTGTGTTGGAATGTGCCCCCCATTTATTTGTGTGTGTGTGTGTGTGTGTGTATGTATGTGTGTGCATGTGTGTGCCATGGCACTTGTGGAGATATTTAATGGAAATCTGGAATAGACGGTATTAGGTCATTGGACCACATAACAATACAGCCAATACAATATAGGTATAGTGCGCACACACACCATCATTAAGGTTTACCTTTTGTAGGTCCCTTTTTTAAAAAATATATAAGTTAATCAGACTTTCTGGAATGTACTTAAACTTGGTTTTGTTTTGACCTTTTTTTTCTGTTTCTGCTTTGGGAAAATCTTTAGGACCATACTTCTGTCTGAAACCCCTTTTCAGGGCTGGGGAGATGCCCGGGGGTCTCTGCTTTACAAGCATGTGCTTGCTGCACAGAAACATCTGAGTTGGGATCCCCAGCACATGAGAGAGCCAGGTCCAGCTGCTCCAGCGCACTCCTTAGCCCGATCCCTGGGGCTCACTAACTAGCATGCCTGTGTAAATGCATGTGGAGGCCGGAGGTTGGTGTCCAATGTTTTCTTCATAGAAGTCAGAAAGAAGGTGTGGGATCCCCTGGAACTGGAGTTGCAGGTGCTTGTGAGCCACCATATGGGTGCTGGCAGTTGAACCCGGGTTCTTTGGAAGAGCAGACAGCGCTCTTACACTGAGTCCCAGTTGATTGTTTCACTGGGCAGAAGCTTCTTAGTTTCATGAAGTCCATTTCCATTGTCCTTGATTCGTAGGCACTTGGGTCCTTCTCAGGAAGTCCTTGCACACACCTATTTCGTGTAGGTTAGGAATACAGGCATATGATTTGCTTTATTCCAGCAGTTTCTATGTTCCATCTGTAGGTTTTTGATCCAGTTGGAATGAGATTTCATGAAGGTGATGGGTACAGGTCTAATTCCTTCTTCTGCTTGTGGACAACCGGAGTTCTCAGCACCATTTGTTGAAGATGCTTTTTTTTTCTCCAGCATGTTTTTGGCACCATTGTCTAACACAGTAGCCAATGTTATATGTTTGCTTATGTTTGGGTGTGCAGTTTTGTTCCGCTGGTCTCCGTATCTGTCTTTGTGCCAGTGCTCTATTTTTTTTATTGCTATGGCTCTGTGATGTATCTTAAGACTGGATCTGTAATCCCTTCAGCATTCTTCTTTTTGTTCAGGATTGTTTTGGCTATTGGGAGCCTTGTGTGGTTCCATATGAATTTTAGGATAGTTTTTTTTGTTTGTTTGTTTTTTGTTTTTTTGGTTTTGTTTTTCTATTTCTGTGAAGAATGAGATGGGGATTTTGATTGGGATTTCATTGACTCTGTACATATCTTTTGGTAGAATGGTCATTTTCACAGTGTTGATTCTACCAGTTCATGAACATGGGATGTCATTCTATCTTCGGTGTCTTTATCTCTCTCTTCAGAGGTTTAAAGTTTTCATTGTTGAGGTCCTTCATGTCTTGCTTAGGTTTATTCCTAGATATTTATTTTCTTTGAGGCTGTTGTGAATGGGAGTATTCCATGACCTCCTTCTCTGTATATTTATTGTTGGTGTATTGAAAAGCCATTGATTGTAAGTTGATTCTGCATCCTGACACATTCCTGAATTTGTTTATTGTTTCTAGAAGTTCCAGTAGAGTTTTGGGGCTCTCTAATGTATAATAGCATCATATTTCCTGCAAATAGGGATAGTTGATTACTTATATCCCTATTTGTATCCTTTAATTCCTTCACTTGTCTTACTGTTCAACCTTCAACACAGTGTTCAAAAAGAGTGAGGATATTGTTTATCTGTCTTGCTCCTGACTTCAGTGGGATTGCTCCAAACTTTTCTCCATTTAGGACAGTGGTTCTCTGCCTGTGGGTCGAGATCCCCTTGGAGTTGCATATCAGATATTTGCATTATAATTCACAATAGTAGAAAAATTACAGTTATAAAGTAGTAATGAAATAATTTTATGGTTGGGGTCACTAACATGAGGAACTATATTAAAGGTTTGCAGCATTAAGTAGGTTAAGAACCACTGGCCATCAAAATCCCAGCAAAATTCTTCAAAGACCTTGAAAGAACGGTACTCAACTTCATTTGGAAAAGCAAAAAACCCAGGATAGCCAAAACAATCCTGTGCAATAGAAGAACTTCTGGAGGCATCACAATCCCTGACTTCAAACTCTACTACAGAGCAGCAGTACTGAAAACAGCCTGGTATTGGCATAAGAACAGACAGGAGGACCAATGGAACTGAATGGAAGACCCGGATATCAATCCACACGTCTTCAAACACCTGATCTTTGATAAAGAAGCAAAAAATATGAAATGGAAAAAAGAAAGCATATTTAACAAGTGGTGCTGACATAACTGGATATCAACATGTAGAAGAATGAAAATAGACCCATATCTATCACCATGCACAAAACTCAAGTCCAAATAGATCAAAGACCTCAACATAAAGCCAGCCACACTGAACCTTATAGAAGAGAACGTAGGAAGTACACCTCAACGCATTGGCACAGGGAACTACTTCCTAAATATAACCCCAGCAGCACAGACACTGAGAGAAACAATTAATAAATGGGACCTGAAACTTGAAAACCTTCTGTAAAGCAAAGGACATGGTCAATAAGACAAAACGACAGCCTACAGAATGGGAAAAGATCTTCAGTAACCCCACATCAGACAGAGGTCTGATCTCCAACATATACAAAGAACTCAAGAAATTAGACACCAAAAGATCACATAATCCAATAAAAATGGAGTTCAGACCTAAACAGAGAACTCTCAACAGATGAATCTAAAATGGCTGAAAGACACTTAAGGAAATGCTTAACATCCTTAGTCATCAGAGAAATGCAAATCAAAAC